ATATACGTAGCGCAACAGTATATATATATATATATATATATATATATATATATATATATAATATCAAAGTTGGATAAAAATGAAAACTATGGAACACCTTCAAGAAAGAAAAACCATAAAGTAAAAAAATATAAAATAAAAAAGATTACTTGATATAAGTTATTTATTGGGAGATTACGTAAATTTGTATTAAATTTATTATGTTATATTAGTTTCTCTTCTGTGACGATTTTCAATTAAGACTGGTAAAATTGCATTTTTAATCTAGACTCCTATCTTTAAATTATCATAAATGCAAATTGAGAAATGACGTAGTAGGAAAGGGTCTTGTTAAATTATATGAGTTCCCAGCCTGTAAATCAAGCTTAAATATGTTCGAGCATGGCTTGCATGGGTTGAGCCTCAACTTGATCATTGTTTGAACCTTGAGCTTGAACACCTTCTTGGGTTTGCTTGAATTCGACCTCTCAAGGGGATGTAAGCTTGCGCTTGACTTTGCTTGACTGATTTATATAACAAGTCTGTAAGGAGCTGCACTCTGACATGATTTAATTTAAGTTTGATGATACATACATACATGCATATTGTTATTTATATGCATTACATGTTGAACAAGCTTAATGGATGCATGTATCATCTTGTGCTTGGCTTGGCTTGTCAAGTTGTAAAAAGTTTTGTTTGAGCTTGGCGCATTAGGAGCTGGACTGATGCAGCCTGGCTTTTTGACAGCCATACTTCCGATCAATCAATGGTGGATTCGACCTAAAATTCGACCTAAACTTGCATGAGCCAAGTGGTAGGTCATGCTCGCTTCCCATCACCGTCCAATGATTATTTGTGCAGTAATAGATTGGATACTCGGTGGAGTCGGATCTTTCTTATGCTTTTTCATTCAATCTTTCAAAACTTACAATCTAAGAGGGCCATAACCCGGTGCTGGTTCGGCCTAAGCAGGGTCCCAGGAGGGGTGGACTGGAAACGGTCCTAACCTTTGGCATATGCACAAAGTGGCCGCTTTCAGGACCCGAACCAACACGCTTGCGCTGGCTACCCGAGCCTTTTACCTTCACACCAACTGACAGCCCCTAAGGATTTAAGGATTACAATCTGACGTAGAAAATTAGTGGTGTATAACATTATAGATTTAAGGATTGCTATTGACCAATTTTAGTTTTTTAAATTTTCATAGTCCTTTTTTTTTTCTTTTTCTTTTGTAATCTTACTTTGTGTTTGCACCTTCTATTTAGTCAATTACTCGTTCCTATCTTTAGATAACTTGTTTGAAATTGTTGTTCTCTCTCTCTC